TGCGCAAATCACATCAGGCCGAAATTTGCATGGCGGGATTCCGCGTCGCAAAGGTTTCGCGCCACATCTGCGGCTAGCTTGTCTGCACTCTCTCCATTTTCTTCGCTCTTCCCCATAGCGCACATATGTGGCGCGAACGTCTGGCACTGCGAGCGCGCAAATTCAAGCCAACGCTTCGGCCTGGCTCCAACTGAAGGAGACTGTAACTATTGTTTAGGATAGCATGTTACACTATCATGATGGATAGTCAAGCGATCTAATGAAAGAAAAACAAACTTCTCTCAATGCAGCCCTCAGCTAATTTAAAAACGGTAAAAAATCTATATAGATAAATTGAGACTTACCGAACCATAACGGGCTAGGACCTACGAGGCTATTACATTCGTGTTGCGATAGAATGAACGCAAATGTAATCATCACTCAGCTCTAAGAGCCATTTATTTCTGAAATGGAAACAGGTGCAATTTTTATGATTAAATTAGCACGGAGGTTCACCGCAGACATTAATAAATAAAAAATAACGGAGACTTCACTCATTATTGGCATTAGCTTATGTAATGTGGAAAACCATTCTCTGACCTTGATTAGACGTCCAAGCCCCGCCTTCCAGCCGCCAATCCCGTTGGATCAAAGGTAAGTACAGGGTGCCCGAAAAGTATGGGGTTACTTCCACAAATGTGAATCTGTCATTAAACATCAAATCCTGTTTATTATGCGCTAGTTTGGAGTGTCTGCGCCACGAACTGGAAGGTGCCTGGACGAAAATTGCTGCTGCTGAAAGATACTTCAATGTCGACATCGCTGAATACGCCAACGTCTAGTCTTGCTGGAATATCATTTGTAAATGGTGACTATTTTTTTCACCGAAAGACGTACAACAGTGGCGTTGATGTTGATATTTTTCGGCATGAAAATGAGCGGTGTCGTACCGTTTGCGAGATTCCTGCCCGGACCATCAGACTGGGAGGAAACAGTGACAATTTAGTGATTTTTCGTCTCCATGGCTGTCTATACTTCGGGCTGATTAGCTGGCGGTCATTTTGAGGATTATGACAACTGTAAACATCTCATTCGTGAACAAGGCATTCTTAAGGCAGCGCACCTCAAAAATCTTACAGCTTCCTTCTTTTTTTCAAAT